AAGTCGACCAAAGATCAAAACAACTCGTATTGCATCACGTGCATAAAATATATCATACTAGGTCAACTCATTATATTCGATCCAACTTCGATCTTGTTACTGACGTACATGATTATAATACAAGAAATAGCCGATTCAACTTTAACTTACCAGAAAGAGTAGGTAGAATTGGAAATTCGTTTTATTACAATGCCATAAAACATTGGAATTCCCTTCCCAACGGTGTAAAATAAATAAAAAGTTATGCTCATTTTAAGAGGAAATTAAAGGAGTACCTAATACTTGACAGTCAGAGAAGAGAAGTGAATGACATGTTATATGATTGAATTTTGTATATACTTATGTTTTCGTACGTTATAGAAATTCTACAAATTCATCATTATTTTCCTCTTCTTCCTCCTCCTCTTTTTCTTCGTCTCCTTCTTCTTTTTCTTCTTGTACTTATTATCATAATCTATCATCAGTTTTATGTTGTTATTATTATTATTATCTTTAATATGTAATTCTTTTATTTTTATTATCTGTCTGTAAATATTACTATTTTAACTTATTAATTGTATACATGTCTGTAAGGGACCCCACTGGAAATAAGCTCTCGAGCTTTCGTGGGTTATCCTGTTCAAGCTGACTTATTTTTGATCTGTTATTATTGCATATTGTTGTATGCTGGAAGCTTGTCGAATAAAATCAATCAATCAATCAATCAAATTTGCGCTCACTGGGAATCTATTAATACACGATAATTTTTGTTTCGAAAGCGTTCTGAAAGTATAAGGGTGTTTGTAAATTGATGAACTTTACGTGTTATTACTATCCATCTATCTATCCTGGTATCTCCCCCAGCTCGGAAGTTGATTGCAATATGTTTCCACACATCCCTGTTATCTGCTATTCGAGTACACTACTGCAGTGTCATTCAGGCGCGGATCCAAGGGTCGATTTTACCGGCCCGCCCCCCCCCCCCCCCTAGCCCCCAAAACGTTAAAACATAGGATAGTAACGTAAATTTTACCTTTTTTTAAAACAAAAACCAAAAGCGGGGCCCCATGACCCCCCTGACCCCCCTGACCCCCCTCACAAAAAAAGTAGTAGTCCTCCTCTCCAGCATCCCCCCCCCCTCTTATTCACCGGCCGGCTGAGTCGGCGCAAATTTTTTCCACAAAAACTGGACCCCCCAACCAAAAAAACAACAAAAAAACAAAAAAACAAAAAATTGCTTTACCCCACCCCCCCCCCCCTCCCCGGCTTATTCACCGGCCGGCTTAGTCGGCGCAAAATATTTTCTCAAGATTTGACCCCCCCCCTCTTGGATCTGCCCCTGGTGTCATTCAACTATATGTCTTTAATATTTTCTTCTCCCAGTCTAGTACCTTCTACTGAACCTTCTAACAAATCTTTCAAGAAACCATGCTGTGTTTCGATATCAACAAGATAGTTCAAATTAATTTATTTTACTCTTCCTATAAGCATATTTTGTTTAAATATTGTCATACGAAATATATCTATGCTAGGTTTCAAATCTTTCCATTATGTTCTCATTATCATGAAATGTTATGATTGTTAAATTAAGTAAATTATAATGTTTTTACTAAAAAAAAGAGAGATCATGTGTTCTTTGCACAATTCGTGATTGAGCAGGGAATTAATATTGTGAGATTTAATCTATTTATTGGGAATTTTTGTTTTACTTACGGGTGCTATGAATCCTGTGTTTCCAAGCTTTGTCATCAAGCCCAAACAGGGTATCGATATATAGCCATTAAAAGGGAAAAAAGGAATCCTGGTTTTTCAAGCTTCTTCATCAAACTAAAAACAAGGCATCAACATTTAGCCATTTGCATCTTCATTATGTCTCGAAAGACATGGTATACAACTAGAAACTTGTATTGCTATTTATCGAAATGAATAATATATATAATAATAACGATAATAATAATAAAACGGTACTTATCAAGCGCTTTCCATTGAAGTCTCTAAGCGCTACCTCTTAATACTGATCATCATCGTACTTCATTGCTACGTGTAGTTTCACTTTATAAGTATGTAGAGCCTGTGATAACAAGCATGTAATATAACACTTGTTTGAGCATTATTAACGAAATTTCCTTGAAGACAATTCAATCGAATCCAAAAGGTATTCGATGCTACATCTTTTTCTCATAGTACACATTGCTCCACATGCTTGGGCCACTTAAACATTAATATTTTTGATAGCTTCTTCGTTGCTTCATCGACGTCTACAATGGCTAACGAAGACGAGGATACTACAAAGGGCAGGCCGAATTACAACAGTTCACTTTGTTTATGTCTTCTGTCAAGTCTTGGAGTTTGCTTGGCATTTCTACCCTACATTCCTCTCAGTATCGTCGGCAAACGTGATGTAATCTTTATCGTGTCCAGGACCATTATGATGGGGGTGATTGTGGCTGTGGAATTCCTGTTGATTCACTTCATACGCAACAAGGACCGGTTCCACCAGGCTCAATTGATATTCTGGCCCAATCGTTGTCGTCACTGTGCCAGGGTACTTGGCAACATGCGATCAACATCAACAGACCAAATCAACAACATCCCCGGAGATCAAGCTGGATTACAAGTAGTTGGTGACACCAATTTAGATGCTTTGCCCATTGCTATACGACACGAAGCGAATACTCCAACGGAGCGTTCTTGTTCATCTGGGCGCAATGGCTCGAGGAATTTTAGCGGGACATCGTATTTTTTGACAAGCAGGGATTCTAGTATTTCGCGTCCAATTAGTGCTTCCCCGTTTTCACCAGAAACTTCACCTTACAGCTCAACATCCAGATACCAGCCTCCCTGTGACCCGTCCCTTGTGGATCAAGACGTTACCATCCGCGGCCATCATTGCAAAAGACAACATATCTACTCCAAACGACACCGTTCACTTGTCAATGTTTTCAATATTTTCTGCTTAATCGCTTTGTTTGGAATACCGTTCGGGGTCATCAATAAACTCGTCTGTATCATCAACAGTGACGGTTCATTGACAAAGCTCATCACTGAAGAGATATACAACCTTCTCCTCTTGAGTCTTATCCCTGTAGCCATGATGTTCTCTATGAGGTACTACGACGCCATATTTGTTACCACAACAAGGAACTGCTTCTCCATCGTGATATTCCTGTCAGGGGGTATATGGGTATCCGCAATGAAACTTGTCCTGCCCATAAGCCATCTTCTGGGTTTTGATAAGATGGGTAGCTCTTTGACAATGAACAGTACCTATGGTAACGTTCTCCTCTATGGCGAGCGAGCGATGACTCCGTTCTTTACCGAATGCGCTGTCATATCGACGGTTATCATCTGGCAGGCATGGACTTCTTTCGTTTCCAGATCAGAACTTCACCTTGATCGTGAAATGCCCCGTTACAACGCTATTCCTATCGCTCCTAATTCCCGTCACTGGTGCCGGACGTTCCTGTCATGGCTTAGATCGCTCGTTGGGAAATGTCGTCGCTCTAGCGGAAACGGTGAAGAACAACGCGAACTGATACCAAAGGAATCTCCGTCTGAATTCGAACGCTACATATTTAAATGTTGGGTTGTCGCCATCTCGTTATCTCTTATATACTTCACAGTCAGTATGTGGTTGATATGGGATGGATATATTAGTTATTCCCTTCTAAAACAACACAACAGGTCTACGTCAGTTCATACGTCAGGTCACTTGAAGTCCTATTTCATTTCCCATACTTTATATTCTTCTACCAAATTTCCCACCTGTCTCGGGATAGAACCCATCAGCCCGTATCCTCACAACGCAGTCTTGAAGGACACGACATCCTGCTTCTTCTATGTACTTGTGGAATATTCTGCCAGACTGTTTTTCGTATAACCTCTGGCTTTGGTCTCCTTCTAAGTGGACGCGCAACCTCCGGTGATGACTACGCGACGTGGATCCCTTCCGTAATTTACTCCATCTTCATCATCTTCCTTATTTTCAATCTCACCTCGTTTCTTCTGCGCATCCAGAGACATGATCCTTTAAACCCAACTCAAGTGAAATGGGTGCTGTCTTTCCTGATCTATATCTCGGTGCTTAACAGTACAGAGTGGTTGATTGATAGCATCATAGTTGAGACGTGGATAGTGCAGTGTCAGTTCTTCGGGCAAACAACGGGAAAGGTTATTGGAACTCTCTTAGATCCCTTTGTGACCTTGTTTGGCCTCCATGCAGCAATGGTCGCACATGAAGCTTTCAAGGTCATCCTTAAGAGAACTCTTCAGCAACAGGAACGCTCTAGTGACAGCTCATCAGATACTGACCTTAATAATTAGCCACGTAAGGTGTATTTGAACAGGTCGATGGTCAATTTGTCCTACACGTTACCGACCGTATCAAAGATTATGAGCGGAGCTGATACTGTGAACAACTTATTTTTCTTATAGAGGCAACGTGGAGGTTGTTTTCCTCCTCGTGTGATAATTCGGGCAGTACCTGTATATTTTCCAGTTACAGGAGTCACACCGTGGTAATGTTCACGATTTCCAACAGTTACTATTCATCTTAAAGATGAAGTTGAGTTCTAGTCATGCGATTGCATTGTAAAAGAAACGGTGTGGAACCGACCAGAAAAGGTTGATCATATAAGAATTTGTGTGTATTGCAAGGTTCTGTAATCATCAAAATGATAAGAAATTTGACCAAGTCTTGGTAAAGTTACAAACACTTGCACAGAAAGATGTATATGGGACTACACGAACACGTGGCGTAAAAAACCGGCCCCCGATTTTTACGATGTTACGTGCATATTTAGAATATGGAGGCATTTGAAGAGCCATGCTTTTCAGGGAACATGTCTTAATTGATGTTCTTCCACACTTGCATAATAAGAATGAGGAATGCTCACAAATTATTTTTCACCTCTTCCCAGAACTCAACCTTCTCTTTAAAGACTTTAGTTTTGTTAGTGAGTAAGTGTTTTTGAATATTTTTTAAATTCACATTTGATGTCAGCAAAAATGTTATTACTATATTCAGTTCAGTTCAGTTCAGTTTATTTTATTTTTGCACGGCACCAACTTCAGCCAAGGGCTGTTCTTCTGTTGGTCCGTGCGCAATATAAACATTACATGTACAATTATAAGATAACACATATTATCATAACATATGAAATATGACAACAACAAAAATATAAAAAAAAAAAAAAAATACAAGAACATATTAGTATACAAAGAAAAATGAAAAATTACAAACCAAGATACTACTTGGTGTTATATTTACTAGTATCTTATATTGTAGACTTGAACACTTGTCATTCTGGCGGAGATCCCAAAAATGTAAATATATTTTTGTGCAGTATGTGCTTGGTGAACTTTTATTTTTTTCTTATCGTTGAGTAGGCGTCAGAGGAGTAGTTTTTTAAATTTAGGAAATTGTTACTTAATTGTGAGCTTATTTTCGCACATTGCTATTTCTTTATTTGTTGTCGTTATGATTACTGATACATGTATTACAGAAGCTTCTCGGTCTTGTTATTATGTCTATCTCCTTATCTCCGTGTGTCTATTTGTATATTTATTATCACTTACCTTGAAACAGAGTGGCGAAAGTTTGATCTAAATCAGATATATAATGAAAAAGATATGAATGTTTGAAATAAGAGATCACTGCAGATATGCGAATCTTAAATTGGCAATTTGTCAGTGGATTGTGTATCATTAATATCCCTAATTTGTTTTTGTGTTTTCCTTTTCCCAAGTGCATTCACCCTTGGGGCACTACTCAAAATACATTATTGAGAGTATTTTATTAGAGGTTCTATAATAAGAAAGACCATCCCGAGTCATACTGTTTCGAATTTTTAAAATCATTTTGTTTGTTGGAACAAACGAGGAAGTTGTCCGCCTCTATACATCAGAGAGACATAACAGATTCATCCAAATTAAAGAGCCCATTCCTATAGTCGGATTGCAACTTTCAAACATTTATATTCATATCTTTCTCATGTTTTGTTTGATTTCATTCAGAATTTCACCTGGATATTTGTCAAATTTCAAATTTCGTTCTAGAGTAGTTTCATATCAAGGATAGATTCCCCTTTAAAACCATTCGAAAGTGTCAAGTGTCATACATAATTATACTGTTTAGTATCCAGCATCTTGTCTATTTTATTCATTTTAATCATTAGCGTTGCCACGCAGAGATCTAAACCTCGTGTAAACACAAGCTCTCTTTAAAGTTTCATTGTCGATGGCAATAGCCGTTATGTGTTCCCCCTCCCACCCCTACCTGCTGATATATTTTTTTAAATCATATTTTTCTCACCCTTGATACGACATAAAAATGGTGAATTTATATATATATTAAACTTAAAACACAAACCCCTTCTTACAGTAAAGGGAAAAACATGCAATTTTGTGCCAATCTAAACAAATTTAATGCTCAAATCTAATTGTCTCATTACAAATGATTTCATTCACCTGTTACGAATGATTGTATTTCATTAGTGAGAAGTCAAATTGCATATATTACGGGTTGTGAGGTAGGACGACCTTTAATGTTTGTCCTACCTTACAACAATTAGTGTATTTGTATAATGGCAATACGAAATGGTCTATTCAAAAGGCATTTTCATTTACAGTTATCCAAACATAGACAGTTGCTTATCATGTTTAATGCTTTCAGATAAAAAGTATAATGCTAGCAAAAGTGTTGAGAAATCAAGGTAATGAAACAAAAGTCCTAACTTTAAAGATTTGTTATTTTAAAGTTTTTATTTACATACTATCATTTAATAAGGTAGAACAAGGAAATGCAAAGTAAAAACAGAACTACGTATAAGTCTTCTCCAAGAAGTATTTGAGTCATTCTAGTATAATCCTGGCTTTGCATGTTATGAGGAAATGATGTGTAAATATTGTATGAGAGGGAAATTATCCTATAGTTTCAATCATTTCATTTAGAGTATGAGACCGAATAATCCATGTGGAAAACACACAGTAAGTGACAGTTCTCAGATTCTCCGATGAGGCTAACTTCGAATTATTTGGTCATCGCGTTCGGTCGGGAAGTCGCGTTACACGACCTTCCGTGAAACGAAAGTGGTAGATAATGTGAAGACACACGTTAAGGACGCTAACTATCGTAGATTCGCCTTAATTTTGTTATAAGGTGTCGGGTAAATTTGACCAGATCATTCATAAATGAGAGGGGTTCACGTCACAAACATTATCCTGGAACTTTCGTGAATAAAAGGGTTTGTTTTCCAGGTAACGCGACCACCCAAACCGACGCGATGACCCGAGGGTTGGAAGTAAGCCTTCATATGTAATGCAAACGAGAATACTATACGTTCTTCACATTTTCCCTTCTTGTTTTGCATATTAGATCATTTCGATGGCACAAAGAGATGTGGGAGAAAAGCAAATCTGTTCGACTGCTATCTTGCTAGCACAATATGCTTGTCTTTCAGCGATAAGGCTATTAAGGATAAAGCGTTAACAACACATAATACGAAAATAAATGTATCCCTTTAATATTCCACATGCAATACCGTGGATCATTCAATGCTTTTGAATATAGTGTTAAAAAAGCTTAAAAGGGAAGTCCACCCTTATATCATGTTGGTTTTTACTGTAAGCAGAAAAAATAAGAAAAGCAAATGTCATCAGTGAAATACTAATTGCCAACACTGATTGTGACGTATTTTGCGAGCTCCTTTCCTATTTGCTCTGTCAAAAATGTCATGAACTTAATTTTCTTAGTTATTGATGACCGAATATATTTGTTTCATACAGGGGCTATTATAAAAACCTATTTTCATTAATTATTTGTATGGTGAATGTATGATTGAACAATTTCAAGTTTTTTAGTACAGGGTAAATAGGAGGGGACTTCGCAAGATAAATCACAATGGATTGCTACTTTGTGTTTGACTGATTGCACCTTCAAGGTGATTTTAATTACTTTCTTATTGTTAATCAAATTTGGTGAAACTTTTAATGACATGTTTCTCTCAATTTTCTGCTTTTATCAAAACCAACTTAATATCAGGATGGACTTCTCCTTTGCCCCCTTCACATACTTGGCTTTTTCTTACGAGTCCTTACGGATCGCACAAATTCACGGATCTTTCACGGATCCTTACGATTTGGCCACTTTTACGACCGATTTAAGAGTTGTTACGAGTTATTAAGAGCTATTTACGGTTTGTTACGGATTATTACGAGTTATTACGATATACTTACGGCAGGATTCCACGATTTGTTACGAGTTGTCACGGATAACTACGAGCAACTTACGTGTTAGTAACGACCTGTTAACGTGTTGTTACGAATAGTTACGACTTAGTTACGAGTATTTACGAGTCCTTACGATTTTTAACCAACAAATAACAACTGAAAATGAAGTGTTCAAATTTGCAGCTATTATACCTTTCCCCCAAAACGTAAACGAAACGTAAGAATACTTAAAGTATACGTATCTATTTGTAAAATACTCGTAACTACACGCAAAGTGCCAGCAATAAATCGTAACAATCCGTAAAGCCATTGTAACACGACCCGAACGAAATCGTAAACAACACGTAAGCACTCGTAATAATCCGTAAATAATCCGTAAGTAATCCGTAAATAATCCGTAAACAAATCGTAAACCAAACGAAACAAATCGTTAAAGAAATCTTTACGAGTCATTTACGGATTCTTGCGAGCAGTTTACGGATGGTAACGTGTTGATGCGAGCGGTTTACGATACTTACGGATTGTTACGACCTATTTACGAGTTATTAACGGACAAATAAATCCGTGGACAATCGTAAGAAGATTTTTGACATGTCAACAAATTTGCTTCTCCTTTCACGGATCCTTACGAGTGTCTGCGAGTTGTTGCGAGTTGTGACGAGCTATTTACGGATACCAGCGAGTTTTTTACGGATGCTTGCGATTGACTACGAGTTGGCGATCCATAAGGACTCGTAAGGAAAATCCGTGTTTGTGAAGGGGGTATAAACCATAATCTTTTATATTTCCACTTTGTTCAGTTCGTTACTTTAATATTGAAATGTTGTATATATTATAGTTACTTGTTCATAGGCTGTATATCCTATCAAGCAAATAGTGTTAGTTTCATGGTCAATCATACAATAATGACGCTCGCGGGTTTTTCTAGACAGATTCTATAAACTACTCGATGCATTCTTAAATTTATATTCTCTTTTTGCATATCATCTATATATCCTGCGAATTCGACTGGTTCTTGAATGTACTTTACGATTTAGTATCTAGCGTCACCTGTGCACAGGAGGCGAGAACCGTACTGAATCGCTGTAAGTCTGTAACCCTTGGGTCTCTCCTCCCGGTAGAACCGACCGGGATGTGCAATTAGACCACTAATGACACCGGAGTTGCCCCCTACTCTATATACGAATAATGCACTACACTACACGGGCCCTTCTTTTAACGTCCTATCCGAGAAACCGATTCAATTATTGATTCAATGCCTTGATACCTTTAGCTTTGTAAGTGATTTATTAGCTTGTATAGATTATCATATTTAGTTGTAAACTACGTACATGTAAAAGCGAAACAAGGGAAATTCCAAACTAGAATATATTATATAATATGGTAACGACACATGCAGACAATAAAAGTAAGCATGATAAAAAGGGATCTATGTAAGGATCCATGTAGTGTTTTAGGGAAGTCAAAAATAAAGAAGGCACACATGAGTTGTGTAATGGTCCATGATAATTTCAACCACTTTGCATTGGTGACTGGCTAAGGATATTCTGCAAGGCGTCGTATGCCACAACTGACGCAAAGAGTTTGTACAGCATACAAACTGGATTCAGCAAAAGTCCGACGCTTCGGCCAATACCTTCAGCGAAGAAAACAGATTGGACAGGCCACGTATCCATATCACGGCTGTCCAGAACCCACTGAGTTGCATTAGCTACTCCTGTGTAAACCAGAGTGATCATTATCCACTTCGTCTTGAGATCTGCTACCAAGTTTTGTCTCTGAACAAGGAATAAGAAATACGTCATCACCCATGCTCTACAAAGGTCAAAGAGTGAGTAGACAACAGCGAAACAAGCTAGAACTAGATTATCGTCCATGCCGGTATCAAACTGACGGAGGATGATCCCAATGGCTGCTATAAGACGCATGACAGAGACGGCAAAGACGCCAAAAAGACCAGTGAGTAAAACGATGTCACCACCATCTAGAAAGTTCATGAAGCTTGAGTAACCCTCGATCAAAACGCAGTGGGTCTTACGAAAGATTCTGTTATGATGGAGAAGCATGATGACTAGGGGAAGAAACAATACCATGTCGCAGCACCACTGCAGGTAGACTCTTGCGTTTGGAGACAACTCTTCATCGGTATAAACATGTTTCAAAAGAAAATCGCTGAGGCCAATATAAAGAAGTCCCGTAGCGGAAAGCAGTACGGATACGCGTACGAGTGTACGACGCAAGCGATCCCGTGATGTCAGTTCCTCCTTCCGAATCAAACTCTGTCTTTCTGGTGCAGATCTGTTCTTATTTCGCCAATACCTCGCAATGTAGCCACAAAGTGCAGTGATGCGTTTCCATAGGCCGATATCGTCAGTCTCAAAGGCATCAAACTCTGCATGATCTGTGCTTTGGAGATTCAGAAAGTGTCTTGGTATGACTGAAGACCACGTTGACGATATAATGGCAGTCGCTATGATCCCGCTACTCATGTAAAGGTGTGTAAAGGATGGACCTAGACCAACGAAAACAGAACACAGAAAAAACGGAGAGTGTATAAACTAAATATCAATTGAAGGAAATGTTAGCTCTACTTTACTGTAGGCTCATACTCACAAAACTGATTACCTATATAGCAATGTAATATTCAAAACCTTAAACAAGTATTATGTAAACAAAATGAAAGACCGCTACTTGCAAAGATGTGGTCTAAAGGTTTCAATAGTGAGTTAGCATTTAAAACTGAAGGCTTTTAGTAAAACCATACCAAGATAGCCTTGGTGAACTTAATTTAAATTCGTCATGATCTCTTTCCTCTTCTTTTTATTTCATTTTATAATTTCCTTTCCCCCTCTTAATGGCCCATAAGCAAGTTCTTTTAATATACATTAACAGCCTTTTCACCGAGGCTATCACCAATTTTTTTACCAAAAGCCGTCGATTGTAAAATCTATTTTTATCAATCCAAAACTCACTTAAGAAATTTAGGGTTTCGTCGAGAGTTGTGTTTGTCTTACAGACCTCATTCCAAGATTTGACGAAAGAATTTCCCATCTGTTTACTGATGGGTAAAATAATACCAACCGCAGACCACCACATGCATCCCCCGTTGATGATTCCTACGAAGTAACAGTTCAATGTGGTTTCTACCCACACGGCATCGCTGAATCTGGTAATGAAGACCATTGCAATGGGAATCGTCGCAATGATGGAGAGAGTGAGGATCTCTTCGGAAACAGACGATAAAGAATGTTCTTTCGACAAGCAGATGATGGATATCGCAAGCCGAACGGGTAACCCGATCATTCCAATCACTCCGATGACGCAGAAGGCTTTGCATAAGGAACTAAAATGTTTTGGGATCCGGATATTTCGAACCGAGTCATTTTCCTGCGATAAGGCCTCTTTGGTAGACAGGTTTAACGAACCTGATGTCATTGCCTTGTTCGGCAGAAGACCTGTAACCTCATCTTCAGTGACGTCATTATCATCAGCATCTTCAGGTTGTGTCGCCAGGGAGTGGCAAGGCATTTCTAAAGGAGCATGCGCTCTTCTGTTACGTTTAATGTCCTGTCTGTTACAATATTCTGCGGTTGCTCCATAGCTACGTCCACCAAACGGTTGACTTTGGGCCAATCCATCAGATGGATTACCGAATGCATCACAGGATTCGGTTAGACTTATCTCCATGATATTCCGTCTCGATGGGAGCGTTCTAATAGGCATTGAAGATGACACTCGTTGACGCCTGGCATTGATGACGAGCACTGATCTCCTATCTGTTCCTTCACATGGCATCGAGGAAGTCGGATTATCATCGGAAGATGAATGCAAAGAGGCCGGAGTCGCTGCGGAGTTGTGTCGCGATTCTTCCAAATGCTTCCGGGCTTTGGTTCTACAACCCACGGCACCTACAGCTCTTGCGCAGTGTCGACAGCGCCTTGGCCACAGAATGGTCTGCTGCCGATGAAACCTTGATTTGTTGCATATGAACCATAGCATGAGCCCAGCCATGAGAAACACACCAGCCATCAAGGTACAGCGGCTTACTGTATCGATGGAGCCACCTCGTGTATTCATTGGGGCTAGTGGAGGAAGAAGTGAGAAACATAGGAGAAAGCTAAAGAACAGGCAGGTGAAAACAGTGCTGATATAACGATGGATCTTGATATAGATGAAATTGTCCTTTTCCATGGTGATTCTACTAGTAGAGGGTCTTCGATGCCAATTCTGTTTCTACCGATTTAGAAGTAGGCCTACTGATTTAAGAATGATAAAATGAAAGAAAATCACCGTAGTTGTAAAGACAATACACGGAGAGATCGGAGACTGTTAAATTGAAACAATATGCGAAAAAGTCACAACCGAAGGTTATAACTTCCTGCTTTGATTATAGACTTTCTGACTCATATAGATTTAGAATTGAAATTAATAACTAAGGCTGTCAGAAACCTAAACCATAAAATCAATTTTTCAAATTTGCTGTTAGGTTTATGAACCCTTATTTCTTGTCAAGTCATTGTAGGAGTAATACCATCGACAGATCATTTGCGGAGCTCTCACTTACAAATATTCTCACTTTCATAATTCAAATAAGCGCTTGCTTTGGAGGGGGAAGTGCTTGATAATACAAACACGTAGTCATATAGTTATGGTGGTATATCCAAGTGCCTTTTTAGTGTGTACTTATTTGTAATTAATAACAATTTACTTTCAGTTCTGTGAAATGTTCGTTGCCAAATATTAATGTGTTAGTACAGTCATTTCGTGAGAAACAAGGTATGTGCAAGGTATGAACCTCGCACAACACAACTGTTTTGCAAAAGAACTTACCGTTGATGATACCTTTTCCATTGATGGTAACTTCTATGGAAACCTTGATTTAATTGGCCGTTGTGTGATGATACCATGGTAGTTAATTGTGATGGCAAAGTTTAGATCAGCGGTAAGTTTTATGGAACGAGGCCCAGATACCATAAACATGTATTTTTCATTAAAAATGTTACAAGAAGTCCAAGTAGTTGAAAATGTTTGGACAAAAAACTTCATCATCGGTAACCAACAAGCCCTTACGGGATAATTTCCTACACAGACATGTTTGAAGGTTGTTGGTTTGTTTTGATATTCTTATGATGTACCATATGACGTAATCCATTCAAATAAGTTTGTTCACAGTTTATTTTTATTATTTTATAGACATTTTATTTTGTAGTATCGACAACACATGTAATAATTTGCATTCATTCTTCAGTATGTATACTCATGTTTCGCAGTAAAACAGTGAACGAGGTGCTCCATAAATCCATTATGTATCTTAAAATTAATCATTTATAACATATTTAAGACTGGCTACAATTACGCGTTAGTGAGAATAAATATAATTGTATTATATTAAACAGGATCAAAGCCCTTTTTTGAAATGTACGAAATACAACATGACACCATTACACAATCACAATCTCCATTTCTTCGAGGAAAAGAAAAGAGTGATGAAATTGCATTGGAGTTTATATGATGACAGTCTTTGCGAAGCTAGTAATATTAATAATAATATTCCGCTTATACTGTATATCGCTTAATACAAATGTCTCTAAGCGCTTTACAGTTATACTATTAACCCGGTCATTGGATTCGGTGCTTGCCCGCAAACACGGTGTGTACAATCTTTACTCCCTGGGGAGCATTCCAGCCAGTCCCCATTTTACAAGCGACACCTGCTAATCAAACCACAATAACTTTCGCATCCTACCGGGTACCCATTTAACACCTGGGTGAAGAGTGGCAAATGTAGATCAATGTCTTGCCAAAGGACATTAGCGCCGCGGCGGGACTTGAACCGCAGACCTTGAGATCCACAGTCCGGTGACATATCCACTCGACCACGATACCTTTACATAAATCCAGGCTTTCAAGTATCCAACTCAAGGGCATTATCTTATTTTGATCCCCATAGAAATCATGTTTATATTACATAATATGACATTTTTATAAATTTTGGCTCCTGTCAATGTAATCACGACGAGCAAGGCTATTGAAATTAATTATTATAATTCTTTGAAACCTTTGAAGATCATGTGTAGGACATTAAACAACTAAATTATTCATACCCTTACCCAGGTTTTTTTTTTAAAGTAGGTGAAAAATTGATTTGTCCCAATTTAGGTTATTAAGCTTACATATAAAAGTATTCAACAAAAGCCCCAATTCAACCAGTATACCTTTCATTCTTGTGTAACGACAAACATACACACAAAATAAACTTACAAGGAGCATAAATAACTAAGTTGTTAACCGTATATGTCGAGAGAATAAGGGCGCGTTCATGCTTGATTTTGAAGGCAGAATGAGCGATTTGTAACGTTCATCGTAAACGCTCATCGTAATCGCAGTTCCACGGTGCACTGTTCATGCTCACTTCTCCAGGCAATTCTCCTTGGGTGGCCTTCAGCTGGATTCGCAAACCTGTGTGCGCATGCTACGTAGACCCACTAGAGGTCAGTGCGTTGACCCCTTTACAACTTGTAAACGCATCTTTTTGTGAGTTTACGATCGGCGATCGTGATCGCCGTTTTTCGATGATTCTACAAAAGTGAGCATGAACGCAATCGTGTTTTAAACTAAACGCGTAACAGATGCCTGATTCTGGCCGTCAAAATCAAGCATGAACGCGCCCAAATCGCAGCATCGGATGCGACAATGCTCCCTCTTTCAGATAGTTTGCACGATAGTAACCATGCCAACAGCCTCTCGACTAAAGACACTCGCACACTGTATGGCAAGCAGTCAATGCCATTATTCTTTCGAAGATCATTAATTTCATTACAAAAATGTAATGGGTAGATAATTTCGATAAAAAAATAATGATTCTGTTTATTGATTTGTTTTTTAAAAACAATTCTTCTTTGCAAAATCGCCATACAAAAAATAACGATTCTTTTTATTGATTTGTTTTATAAAAACAATTCTTCTTTGCAAAATCACCATACAAAAAATAACGATTCTTTTTATTGATTTGTTTTATAAAAACAATTCTTCTTTGCAAAATCACCATCCAAACCCGACCTTTATTTGAAACTGTAACTTACAAACACACAATTTTGGTATCAACCATGCATATGACATTTCGTGATATAAAATTATCTTTATGGCTTTGCCGTACACTCGTTTTAAACACGAGAATTCACGTCAAGTAAAGCCATATACTCTGCTCTTCAAATGCTTCTCTCAAAAAATAAAATCAAGAGGTTTTGAGTATATAATATTTAATTAACCTCTAATCATCTATAAATTGTAGGGATTCATCTACTCAAAACACTAAGTGTTTTGATTTTGCAGTTTGTAAAATGAGTGGCGTAATGTCAAGTCAATTTGGGGGCACTGTCATCATTCTGTCTTTAAGGGAATGAAACTCAAATTAACAAGGCAGTTATAGGAGAGAGGACGGGACGGCGTAGTATAATCTTCCTGTTTTCTCCACTCCTCCCCCTTTCCTTTCTGTGTCTGTGGCATATTAAGTAGTGTTTATTAAAATATATATCAATGAGATTCACGCACTTCATTTTTGTTCCTGTTCAATGAAGCTTGAATTTTTGCTCTCATGTCCATATCATAATATACCCTGATCACCATTGGTTTTTGTATAAAATAACATAATTTTATATAAGAAAAATTCAAAAAGAAATGATACAAACTTATAGGAAATAGAGTTCGAAAGGGCTTTTGCTCTATGCCACCCGTTTCTTTCTTTCTTTCCTTTTCATCAGAAAGAGCTTTGACCGATTCAAGCATTACGTTCAACCCGATGTTCCGGTGACTTTTCAGTCCGGTTTGAACAGACAAACAGGTTGTCGAAAGGCTTTAATGAGTGCATCCAGAGCGGTAGACATTCCCAAGTCCTTAATCTGGCAGGCAAAATATGCGGGGCTTTATGTTGAAGGATACTTATCAAAAGGGCAACAGTAACCACAGCGAGTACCGGAATCCCGAAGCCTAGGAGGTAGGGGTTACCGGCAACGCTTAGTCCAAAGACCGCTCCGGGTAGCAGGAGGAACATGACTGCGACGTAAAGCATCGCGAACCAACGGTGTTTGGCCATCTTATCTCCAAGATTCTTTGCCAGCGTAATGGGAACCTTCCGCATGAAGGGTAGCGGATACCAAATCACTATGCCTGTCACGTTGAAGAAGAAGTGACATAACGCAATGTTCAAGGTGTTACTCAGCTCGCCACCGTTACTCGCTAATGCCGAAATGATTCCTGTTATTGTCGTCCCGATGTTTGACCCTAAGGTCAATGGGTACATCCGGTCTATGGATACGACGTCAATACCGACCAGTGGGGTAAGAAGTGATGTGAAGATCGAACTGCTCTGCACGAAGAAAGTACAAAGTGCCCCTATCAGGATTGCTAGATACCCCGTGAGAGAACCCATGAAGCCTGGAAAGTCTGCGTTGACGAATCTCTTCAATAAATGGGTGATGCTACCCTTCAGGAAGGAGTTGAGGAGTTTAACCGTCACCAGCAGGCTGCAGGACACACCGAATAAGGATATAGTCAGGATGATTAGACCAACCCGAAGGTCTGACAGCGATGTGAGAGCAAAGAGATGCTTGTATGTACCTGAACAAATACAAAAATTGATAAAACTGTTATAGATGCGTACATACTTGATATTGAACCATATTACATAGGTTTAGGTGGATATTAAATATTAAATATATAAATATTGCCGAACCAAACAAATCAGACTAGATATTTTGTATTATTTCTATATTACTAATCTATCTATTTCATTCATTTAAAGCATACAATTTGTTTTTTTAATTCATTTATTTATTCGGCACGTTCACGTATTACATTAAACAATGTGAACAAACAGTCTGAGAGTAATAAATCATTTTCATGACAGCAATCATCTAAGTGCAATAGTTGGCGGCCAATTGGCCTTCAGCGGAAGAAGAAAGCCAACCTCATCGTTACATGAAAGGTCCCTTTTCCCGAGTAAGGATTGCACCAAAAGAAAACGGCAAGCAAAGTTTGGTAAATGTGCCATTCCATTAAGTATATTCTACAGCGCTGCAAGAACTCCTGATGTTATCAAAACAAAACAAAAACTTCTTTCCATTCAACTTTATGTTGTATATAATAAGCATAACGTTAAATGAAAAGCTGCTTTTTAGTTCTTATGCTAGAGTACTTAACGATTGTTTATTTCCTAATCTATAAGTTATTCCACAGTTTAAGGCCCACGATTGCAAATGCTCGATGACTGTTAACACTGCACTTCTTCTGGCCGTGCAAATAGTATTACCCTAGCATTGCTATATACTCATTTACACCTGGGTGGAGAGTGGCAAATATGGATTGATATCTTGCCACAGGACTTTTGTCCTGGGTCCCATTACATACAACTTACTATTGATATTATATTTGTAATTAATGGTATCTTTTATTGAAACCTCGATTTGATTGGCTGTTGAGTGACGTAGCCATGGTAGTCAATATTAATGGCAAATTTATGCATTGGGGCCCAGGCTGAGGTCCGAACCCTCAACCCTTGAATCGAGAGTCGAGGGAATAAAAGCACAATACCACGACACCTCCTCGTGTGCAACGGTTATAAAATCATTGGAGCTGTGATAATAGGCTTACATGAGTTTGTAGAGTTGTCTATACATTTCAGGAGGATGCTCTGTCGGCTGGTGTTTTCTCCTAGAATCAAATCTATGTCCTCGACATCTACCTGCATTCATTCATAACAAAATTAAAGATAATACGCATCAAAATAACTCTCTATAATACACGAAATATAACATAAATATACATATATTATCTATATATTTGAAATCTGCATTGTATTATCGGTCAGTACAAGTATGAATGGGCGTTGGGTGTCCGGACACTTAACAAACATATATCCTTTTCTGTTGCTTTCGGATGGAACAAAAAATATTATAAAATAGCACTGACCATCATGAATATTTGTCCTTTATAATATTGTTCAACATAAGTCTTAGAAAATATATGGAATATTCTTTTTGAATTTCTTCTAAATAATGTTTAATTCAAACTGTCCGGACACACAACGTCCGGGTGCACATATGTAATCTGTGCTAAAGCTCTAATCAACACGTCTGAGGTAACTTTTTATATGTCGTGTTGCTCCATTCAAAAGTATGATATCCAACAACTAAAATTGAGTCAATCAGCCGCTTCACCTTCTATTCACATTCGTTACTTTTGCATTTTACGTAGGAGAGGTAGTAAAACAATGCCCAGATGCAAATCAGCTATTTAGATGAATAATTAGATAATTTTATTAATTCATTATTTCATAAAAACAAAAATTAAGCAAAAAGATTTGTATTTCTAATTATTAAGGTAAAAGATGTCACTGTAAATGCATTGGAAATTGCAAAATGGGAATTCGAAAGCTTACAGAATGAACTTGCACGATGAGATCAGTGAGCGGCGTTGTGATGACCTTAAGAAACTCGATAGATTGATTGGTTTCGCTGATATGAAATGTACCGATGACGGCGTCGGTCATGACTTCGAGATACGATGTCGCCATCTCGATCGGGAGCAGAACGGCTACGGTGAGGCAATTGAAGATATCGTGAACAGCAGCACCTGCGAAAGCACGTCGAAATACGTCCTGATCCTGAACCTGTGTGACATGAAAGGGAATCAAAATTAAAGGACCTGTGTCCCTTTTGCAGACTGCTCTATATTCACTCAAACTTGGCCTGAATCACAGTCAGTGGCGGACCAGGGGGGGGGGGGGGAGGGAGGGGGTGCGATTTTTTAAAATTTTCGATGGCCAAATAAAAAATGTGCTCACTAATCGAATGACCACATAGCGAAAGAAGCACATTGTTCATAGATTTGAAAACTAGAAAAAGGAATATAAACCCGAGATATACATGACAGCACTAAAACCGTCGAATTTGAACGCAAGACTAATTCATTTGAATAACAAACTCGCGAATTTGGCTTGGGAAATCCTATATAATTTTCTGAGGCAACTGGAAAAACCTTCATTGAACTTCATCGTACTAAACCTCTTTTTATTTGTACATGTACGCTTTACTTTACTATTAAAAAAAGCCTTTCATGTAACACACGCACCTAATGACAAGGAAAACGATGTGATGAAAATATAACCCTATTGTATTGTGACAAGAATCATTATAAATATATGTTTGACTAATCAGGTTGTTATTTGTAGCCATTAATATAGACAAAATGTATTTGAAAGATTCTCATGTGTTTGTGCATGACTGGTGTACGCTTCACGATATTAGTAGTAGTAATATTTGTAATAGTAGTTGTAGTATTAGTTGAAGTTTTAATTGTAGTAGTAGTTGTAAAAGTAGTGGTATTTGTACTAGTATAGAAGAGAAGTGACAGCTAGGAGAGTGGTGTAATAGTAGTAGTAGTGGGTATTAGTAGCAGTAGTAGTAGTAGTATAAGTTGAAGTAGTATTAGTAGTAGTATTGATGTAAAATATGCATAGTCATTTACTCACCTGACCAAAAGATACCAGTGTGTTGGTGACAGCTGTTCCGATGTTTGTTCCCATGATAATTGGTATTGCATGTTTGACCGATACTGTAGAAGAAAAATGTTTGGTGAAAATATACTTCAGAATGAACATGACTTTGGGTATTCCTTTAATTAATATTTCAAATATGAAGAGGGTCAAAAACAAACTCACGAACCTTCCTTGAAAGAGTCAATTTTCAAATTACTTCCATGCTTTTGCATCCCAGATTATCAAATCAAATATTAACATGAAAGACAGAATAAAGGAGGAGAGTTCTAAATGAAAGAAAAAGAAACAGAAAGGGTTTCTGTTTTACAAGATGATACAGCACTACTCCGAAATCCTTTGCAAGTCATCCAAACATTTGACCAGTACGAATTCCTCTTTATATATATGCATACACATCCTCACACCCATACACATTTTTTTTTTTTTACACACACAATACACACACAAACACACGCACACGCACGCACACGCACACGTACGCACACGTGCCTATATGAACACACCCACCCGCACATGACAAATAATAACCGGATGACAGGACTTATACGGCGCCATTAATCCGTCCTTGCTTTGCCATTTTTTTCTATTTTTGTGTTAATTTTGTTTTTAATTATTCATAGAAATTTCGTGAAGCAAGCCACTGCCTAGTATTATGCCCACTTACAATGAAGTAAAGGTGTTATTTTGTGTACACTTTTGAACGATTCATATAAAGGTCTGGAGGAAATACGGCATCATCCTAATCCTAAATTCTATTTAAGGATCAAACAAAAAACATGCAGGAAAGATTTGTGTAGTGTGCAATATTAAAGTGAGGGGGAGGGGGAGGGAGGGGGGGGGGGCTGCGCAAGATGCAATAAACAGCCAACAAATTTTACTGGCCTTTTGTATTTGTGTGTACATGTAGCCTGGCCCTTTACGTACATAAAACAAGCAAGTTCTGATAACAGAACGTTTATAAAAACCATACTTTTAACTTTGCATTATCTATTGATATATAGAAGATATATCTGCCAACAGCCCACAGGGGATGAAATTAAATCTTGTATACTTTATGACGATTGTTATCCCTACATACGCTTTAAAATACACGTACTCTACGTAATCAAATTCTAATAGGCCTCTTAACCTTTGCTATAGGAAATGTTGTCTTTGATTTTGTGAAGTGATTTATTTTTCTCATTTTGGGCTGTTCTATTAACTCTAGAACAAACTTTTGTAATTTTAATTTCGTTTTTTTTTTAAATATATACGCCATGTACGCAGAATCAGCAATCAGTTATATATATAGGCAGGGGTGACGGGGATTTTTAAAAATATATATTTGTATAAATGATAAATAACAATTAAATCATTTGAAGTGCATAAATATATTTTAGTGACTTTTGCTCAGAGCTTTAGATATTGGTTTAGGGTTTCAAAAGGGGGTTTATGTTTATTGTTTATAATAGGGACAGTCAGTTGTAGCATGAACATGGTTGTAGTGTTTGGTCGATGGTTGAAGATTGAAATTCGGTTTGTGTAACAATTTGCCCGGGGTGCAATCGTTGCTGGTGAAATTGCCGTACAACGGTCCACATACAAGCCAATTCAATTCCATTGAATGTTAGGTTTCCTGGAAGAACTTTAAATCGTTTTTAATAACACTGAGTGGGAGGGGGGGGGGGCAGTAGGCACTAGCACTCAGTAGCGGCTACGGCTTCATGCTGCAGCTAGATGCGACCGGAATGGCTTCTACTCGTCACCTTTTGACGTCATGACCCGATGGGCTCACGCACTGTTATAAATAATTTGTTTACGAGTATGGGGCGTTGAGGCCAAATAGATCAAAAAAGTAGCATGAAATTTACCTTTATTACCCTTTTTATTCATATTTTAAAAGCCTATTTAAAGCCTTATTTATCTGTACTACTTTGGCCAGGAAGGATTAGACCTCCCTGCGTGGTCACTGACAGGTGGTTATCTCATCAAATCAGCTCTCGATTATCATAAGAAAAAGGGCGTCATGTGGGATCAACGGGTACCGCTTAGGCATTGTTTGCTATATAGAGGAAGCAAGTAGCTACGAATAGTGCAGTCCCGCTTTAAAAATAAGGAAATTATTGCATTTTTTTCATTTTCAAAGAAAGAAAATGCAAAAGAACACCGAAGGTTATGCAAAAAAGAATCATGCAAATCTTAATCAAGTAATTTATTTTACTGCTTTCCCATAAGTATTTTTATCTAAAATGTTGGGATATTGGAGAGAGAACTGTATACTGTCAGGATATCAAAAAACGAAAATCTATTTTTCTGGTTCAAAATTCATTTACATAATTACCATTATCCTATCCTTAAAGGGCAATCCAACCTTTGTAATAAGTTGTTGTGTATGCAAGCAGAAACATAACAGAAAGTTTGAAATGAATCAGACCAATAGTAAGGAAGTTATGCATGTTTGAAATATGAGATCATCAAGTCTTTGCAGATCTCAAATTGGTAGTTTGGTCAGTTAAGTTGATCGTGACGTAGGACGTGGAACTCTCCCATTTGCCGTGTACACAAATATCACTAGTTTCTGTTTTTCTCGTAAGTTCCTTCTCCCTTGGGGCACTACTCAAAATATATTATAGATAGCATTTTATTACAGGTCCGAGTAATCTTATAAGAATAGACCCTCCTGAGCCATGGCGTTTTATATGATGGAACAGATGGAAAAGTACTCCGGCACTACATCACATCGACATTACCGCTTCAGCCAATTTGAAGTGGCCATATGTATTGATTCCAACTTTCAAAAATACATAACTTTCTTATATTTAGTCAGATTTAATTAAAACTTTGATCAGTTTGCTTCCCAGATTTTTCTGCTCTCCTTTAGAGTAGTTGTCTATTTGGGTTGTATTTCCCTTTAAAGCCCCTCTGCACTAGTTTGGCCAGGAGGGATTAGACCTCCATGTATGGTCACTGACAGGTGTTCATCTCATCAAATCAGCTCTCAATGAACATAAGAAAAAAGGGGACCATGGGGGACCAATGGCCACCGATTAGGCATTGTTTGCAATATAGAGGGCGCAATTACCTATAAGTAGTGCAGTGGGGCCAACTTACCTATTTGTGCGGATACCATTGATACTACCACCGAGGTCGTAGTGCTGGAGCTCTGGACCAGGACCGTCACTAACAGTCCAATCATAAGACCGCATAGAGGATTAGTCAGGAGCTCATTATTAGCTATGACGGCCCCGATAGCCTTGCCACCCAGAAGGCTGAAACCCAGCGAGAGGATGTCCAGAGAACACACGAAGATGTAGAGGAACCCCAGCAGGAGAATACATCTGGTGATCACATTCAGGAAGGTAACGATCTTCTTCCCAATCGGTATATCTGAATAAATGAAAGAAGAGAAAAATTGATGATGCTGGTCGATAATTGATACCTGAATGCTAAGAAAGCATGTATATGCTTGTGAGTAAACAACCTACGGACTGACGGCTTAAAGTCCTCTGCGAGGGACTTGGCAATGACGATCAATGCCTTACCGAAGGGCACTTGCGGAATGACTGGGTTTGGAATCCGGGACCTCTCGGTTACGATACCACTATTCTACTACAGAGCCATCGCACCTCCTTCAATAGTCTTATGTCCAAACATTTACGTATTCAAGTTTTACGAATAATAAGAAGAATAATTATTAGCATTTGATTAGATCAAATTATTAACATGTTCGTGGAGACACTTATGGGCAAAAACAGGAGTAGCAATAAATTGCAATTCGTCGGCTGCCCGCAAAAAGTCCGTGGCTGTCATTGGCAGTACATAGCTCTAAACCACACCGCACACCATACGATCCTCCTGCGATTCAATTTTCGAAGAGATGCAATTATATTAGATATAGGAATCTAAACTAACGTGGCTTCCTCATTTAGATTCTAAATAATGATAAGAATACTAACAAGCGGAATCATAGTGCATTTAAGCATTCAAGTCAAAATAAGAGCCGAATCGGCTTCCTATCGTAGACAATCGCTCTACTGGCATGACGTCACTACGATTGGAGCCGATTTAGTTTTTTTTCTTCCAAGGAAGCACGAAATCCCTTGAAAATTTACGTAATCATATGACTTTTCAGATCCTCGGTCATTACAATTTTACTTGTTTGAATGTTTGTATAAAATGTGCTGTCACAAATTCTTCCCAAACCGTAGTCGGATCGTATAGTTTGCGGTGGGGTTTACGGACTTCTTGCGGACAGACGACGATAGAATTCATGTTTGGATTACGTAATACGTCTTTGTAATGTTTGCACAATTCGAAATGCTATGAACAAGCCTGTGGAAATTACCTGGGGGTGATTTCTCGAAAGTCTTTGTGATCGTATCGGTAATGAGAGATTAGACACTGCTGCCTATAACGTTATAATAATTGTTTTACCCGTTTTCATTAAGTGATTGTGACAATAATTTCTTTGTGGTTTATTCTCGAAGAATAGAGCTCCTATCTCCTCAGAACTTCATGGATCAATCTCCAAGACCCTTTTTGATTGATCAGTAAAGTTCTGTGAAGATATAAACATTATCTATCAATAATAAATCATAGGCCTAATCTTACAATCACTTCATGAAAAAGGTAAACGTAAATTTATTCCAATTTTTCGGACAACAGTGTAAATTTATTCTTACCTTTGAAGTTCGGTCCCTCCTCAATCTCTGGTATAGTCGAAGCCCATAAATCCTCGACAGTACTCCTGTCCTCTCCGTCATGTCCATACCCTTCTCCTTTGCTTTCACTTCTGTTACCATCCTCATTATCATCCGCCAGCACGCCAGGCAGAAGGATCCTGGAGTCCTTCACCTGGCACTTCTTGAAGGTCTCCGCATCATCCAAAGCGATCGTCGAACTCTCCGAAGGTGAAGTCTCGAGGGTCACATCGTCTTGGTAATCAGGATTCACGATTCCAACTTCAATGTCTGCACTGACATGCCCATCAAAGATGACGAAGATCCCTTCATCATCTGCCGTTCGGGGAGACAGCTCCATTTCCAGTGGAATGGTCTCCGTCTCAGTTATAGTCTGCGCCAGGAGTTTGATTTAAACTCTATTATCGTGCTTTTGTAGATTACTGAAAGGGAAAATATTTGTTATTTCTATATATTTGTATTCGACGTTCATCCAGCTTTCCAGTGATATAACGTTGTATTTTCATCGGAGAGGGTCTATGAATGAGAAGCGTGGGTAAAGCTGCGTGAAGTCGTGATGACAAATTATGTGAAGGATGCTGAACCTAGTCACGAAGAAAGCCAGCATTGAGATTTCTTTACTCAAGAAAAATAAAACCATACAAGTTCAGTGGTCGGGATTACAGATGTTCCGTGCAGACAAATGGGAAGGGAAGACAAACAAAAGTAAAGCCGATGTGCTCATTAATTCAGAATTATATTCTGGAATAAGTACAGTAAATCGACTTAGACCTCCATCTCTCTCTCTCTCTCTCTCTCTCTCCCCCCCCCCCCCCCCTCTCTCTCTCTCTCTCTTTCTATCTCGGCTAGCGTCTTCCTTTTATTCTCATTTGTATTCTACCTATCCAATTCAATCAAATAAATATTATGTACATCATTGTGAGCCGTTCTGGTAATTCGACTCGTTCCCGTCCTCTCTCCCCCTCTCTCTTTTCTCTTTTCCTCTCTCCCGCTCCCTTCTTCCCTCTGTCTCACCATGTGCAAGATTTTTCTTGTTATCCATGGATAACAAAAATGTGAAAATGATGTTTTCCTCACATGTAGCATAAATTAAAAGTCTGACAAAACCTCTTTACGACGATTTGATTTTTAAAATGGCGCCACTCAGAGACCACTTGAATAGAAATTATAAGATGATTAATTGAATAAAGAGGAAGCGTGGAATATGAGATTTTCGAACCATCGAAGTCATATCCAAAATTATATAAGAAATTATATTCTATAATTCTAAACATTCTCTTGCAGCATACAGTCAACCTCAGCCCAGCCTCAGCCCAACCCGTATCTTTACGATGTTTTGATTTTACAATTGTCGCCACGCAGAGACCATGTGACGAGAACATTTGGAGATTCCCATCCATATCACTTGAAGATGTACCATTCTATCATTACTTGGCTTTAATTCAATTGAAGAGGAACGTGCGAACAAAACAAATAAAAACCCTTTTGATGAGAGCACGCGATGCGACAAGCGAATTTTAATCAATGTTAGAAAATCAAGGTATTACTGATGGCGGCATACAAAATCAAGAGAACTACTGTTATTCTAGATGATGAGTTTGTCATTGAGAGGGAAAGGGTTCTGGAACCGTAAAATATATGAATAAACTTACATATTAATCATCATCTTAAAAGCTAAATCTGAAAAAAAAATATTAGAAACAATGTCACTGGAGAAACTATTTAACTGAAATGGACATACGGGACTATATTAACATCTGAAAAACCCTCACCCTATGATAATAATCTGGATTTGGAGTTTGAAAACTGGGCACAGTTTAAGAGCAACGATGAATGTCCCTTAAAGGGACTTTGTAACATTGTTCAGATGAGAGATAGTGGTGCTAAGGTAGTGACTTCAATGCTAGATGTACAATTAAAGATAATCTGAAAATTTGAGTGAAAACGGATCATTATTCATGGTACAAATTGGGAAAAACTGATCTGATCGATTCCTTAATTCTCCCAACTATATTATTCTACTTCTATTCTGCTACTTGTCAAAGCCTGTTCAGCATCAAGACAAGGACAATTTAATTACATTTTAGGTGAATGTAAATCGTCACAAAGCAATAAAATGGCTCTACATTCCATTCCAGACAGTTAAGTGTTGACAGATTTTTATAGCCTGTTTTATGTATTTTTCTCATGGAAAAACGGTTGGGAAAATTCAAAAATGGTTGGGAGAATTTACTGTTAATCACTGTTAGAGGGTGCCTCACATCGACGCCTTCAAAGAAAACCATAGATATCTTTGTGGTTTGAGAATTTGTTCAGGATTTTTTGCATGTCAGAGGGTTAGTATAGTAGAAGGAATATAGTAAGTAACATTTTATACAAAAATTAAGCAATTTTTTTCATCAACCTTCAACAATGTTACCGAGTCACTTTAAGAGAATTATCGATCACTAAAATGTATTGGCAGATCCCTTACAGTACTCCAAATTCCACATTCCATTAAAGAGAAAAGAATTTCCATTTCCGATCTGCATGAGTATTTGAAGAGGCCTTGTCTAAAACATAACCGATGTACTTCACCTTGCAATTCAATCATTAGATTATGGGACCTGTCAATCAAATATGAAAAGAGCAAGCAATCAATCAAATGAAAATATTGAACAAACAGCACAATCATGTAGCGTAACAAGATAGTAGTAGTGTTTGTCTTCTTCTCCTCCTCCTCCTCCTCCTCCTTCTTCTTTCTTCTTCTTCTTCTTCTTCTTTTTTACCCTCTGCTCCTCCTTCTTTTTACTCCCCTTCTCCTTCTTCTCCTCCTTCTTCTTCAAATTATTCTTCCTCCTCTTATTCTTCTTCATCTTCTTCTTCCTCTTCCTCTTATTCTTCTTATTCGTCTTATATCACCCCTCCTTCTTCTCCGATTTTTTCTTCTTCTTTTACTTCTTCTTCTTTTTCTTTTCCTTCTTTTTTTTCTTCCCCTCCTTTTTCCTCCTCCTTCTCTTCTTCTTCTTCTTCTTCTTCTTCTTCTTTTCTTCTTCTTCTTCTTCTTTTTTACCCTCTGCTCCTCCTTCTTTTTACTCCCCTTCTTCACCTTTTTCTCTTTCTTCTTCAAATTATTCTTCCTCCTCTTATTCTTCTTCATTTTCTTCTTCTTCCTCTTCCTCTTATTCTTCTTATTCGTCTTATTTCACCCCCTCCTTCTTCTCCGATTTTTTCTTCTTCTTTTACTTCTTTTTCTTTTTCTTTTCCTTCTTCTTTTTCTTTTCTTTCTTGTCCTCCTCCTCCTTCTCCTTCTTCTTCTTAATTTGTTTAAATTTCTTCTTTTTCTTCCTATTTCTTCTTCTTTTTATTTGTATTCTTTGGGATCCCCTTTATTTTATTCTATTTCCCCCCTGCCAGTAAACCGAACTTTTTGTTTTGTATATATGACCGACTTTTCGTTCCATTTCTTAATATCAACCCATGAACCCTACCTCCATATTATCTTTAAGTGAGTTGCATTAACAATCTACCATCAACCTTTAGTATTATCTGACGGTTGAATTGTTTACACAGCATTTTTGTGCATCACCGATCTATTCCCTGCTTCCTGTATATGCTTTTATCTAGTCGCTGCCATCTTTCTGTCTTGCTTTTTGACTCCCGATGCTTTCCATTCATTTTGTTTTGCGGAAAAAATAAAACAAGAACCCGGGAGATGTGAGCCTGTGTTATTATTTATATATTTTAGGCTCACATCTCCTGGGTTCTTGTAATATCAAGCATTAATTCCTGACGTCATCAATTTTCCGTCTGAGCTATTTCTTTTCTCTATTTTCAACAATCATTCAATAGTCAACGGTATCAAAGTTTCCTGCATCTTATACCGTTTAAAATGCCTTGCAAACGGAATCGCGTTTTAAAGGAAGAGATATACATTATTAAAGTGAGAACCAGTCGAGGAAAGGCTTCTATACAGGGTTATAACAATAATGCGAGCGGTGTTTTGACATGATATAACGGCGGCAACATTAAAGGTAAAGACCAGTTATGGTCATGCGATTGCATTGTGAAAGAAACGTTGTGGAATCGATCAGAAAAGGTTGATCATCTAGCATCTAGCATCTGCAAGGTTCTGGAATCATCAAAATGATAAGAAATTTGGCCCATTCTTCGTAAAGTTACAAGCACTATACACAGAAAGATGTATATGGGACTACCCTATATCTCTCACAGACCATGAGAGAAACAAATTTACCAAATATATGAATTAGTAGGCGGTTTCCCGGCAAATTTTTTATCATCATGTATTAGTCAAAACATATTCTTTCACATAATTGGTAATGAGAGCTTCCATTTCATTTTTTGAAATTGGGGCGTTTCTAATACTGGTCTTTACCTTTAACGTGTCGATTTCATGGCCAAATTTTGAAGTAATTGCAAGCTGCACGATAAACAAACAAACTGATATTCATTTTGATAAGTTTGATAATATCAATATAGACATATTATCGTAGATACGGGGTAAGGAGCACGTTTCCCTTTAGTCGAACGGTAAAGAAGGGGAGGGCCGGGGTGAACAATAATGACAATAATTAAACGTTTTTGTAAAAAGCATAACACATAGGCAAGATTTCATGTCTATAATGCGCTTTACAGAACAGAATACAGACGGAGTGGAAATGGTACACAGGGTTCATTATTGTGAGATCCTACAAAGTGCCAAATAGATATGTTTTCAAATTAGGTCTAAAATGTTCATATGTTTCTATATTTCTTTTAAAGGCGTTCCGTCAAGTTATTCCATAAATCGGTGGCTGAATATGAAAATAACTTTTCCCCATAAGATGTTGTCACATTATGTGGAACATAAAATAGGGCATCATTCTTTCTGGTTTTCAATGTATTAGCAGTCCGATGAGAACCGATGGAGCAAACTGATGGAAACATAAGAGTACGTTAAACTTAATGCAGGACTTGATAGGCAGCCAATGTAAATTTCTTAAGACTGGGAGTATTTATTCATGTTTCTTTGTTCGTGTTACGAGTCGCGCTGCTGAGTTTTGAATATCTTGTAATCTTTGAATTTGATAAGACCACAAAGGGCGATGTAAGAAGAGGATAGAAACCCCTACCCCAATGGGCGGGGGGGGGGGGTTCTTCTTAATTAATTTCACTCATCGAGTAAGACCTGGCGCCCTTCTCTCCCCTCCCCCATCTTGACAATACCTCCTCTTATCGCCTGGGATCACGGCATGCTACTTATACCGACCACGCCCATTTTTAAGATGAAAAGATTAAAATCTCCTGCATTTCAGATTACAGTCTCTGAACATTATTAGAGTGAAGCTTATTTCGTTATTA